AACTTATTAAATTTGGTTGATTTAGATCCATTTCTGAAACAAATATTATTTTAATCTTGTGTCAATTTTTGATGATAGACTCCAATGAAATAAGATTGGTGACTATATACCTAATAAATAATAGACAATAATAACAATAATAATAGTATACATAATATACTAATTAATCAATATACAAATTGTATCATTTTGATAGGCTGCAATTGAGTGTTTGTTGGTGATTGTATCTAGAAACTTTCAAAATCCAGAAGATCGAGCAATTGCTTAATAGAAAGTGGAAATACTTGGAAGGAAAATATTAACATGGGGATAGAAGCTTATAATTACATAATTGGGAATGGAAAATAGAAAAATAGCCTATTTTATCTTTTTAATCCTTTTAGTAATAGTTATCATTTTGTTAGTTACTGCAAAATTATGGCTAATTTTGCTGTTTTTCATCCTTTAAGTCATTAACACTGGTAGTTACATGATAGTATTGAATCCTTGGACATACTGATTACATTTATATATGGGGGTTTCTAGCAAGAACCAGGTATAGGGCCTCCAGACCAAAATTGAGTTTTCTGCATAATATATAATAAATAAATAAATATATTATTTAGTTATTTCAAAGATTATACAAGCGTTAGAAACAATTCATAATCCAAATGTATCTAATGAAATAAGAATTGAAGCACAAAAGGTTTTCCCAATATTTTAATGATTGCATAATTCATTCATTTAAACACCAAACAATAAAATAATATTTATTATATTTATCCGTCATTATAGTTTTGCAATTTTGTAAAAGATGATTTTATGGCGCCATCATATGGACAAATATTAGCTGGAAAAAATAATCAACAACCAGATTTTGTTAGATATTTTGGTTTACAATTAATTGAAAATAGCATAAAATTTAAATGGAACGATGAGACTTATAATGATAAAGAACGAGAAAAAATTAAAAAAGGAGTCATAGAATTAGTCAATGAGGTTTATATATAAGTTTCTACATACATAAATACATACTCTCATACTAATAATGATTTTAACAATTAGGGAATTGATAATATATTTGTTGAAAAATTGTTTATTAAAGAAAAAATAGCGAATTTATTTGCAAATATTATAAAGATTGAATTAACTGATAATTTATTTGAGATGGATAATCTTGCACAATCTTATTATTTTTCAGAAGTATTAATTTGTTGATTATTAAATTTATTAAATTAATAAAGTGATTAATAATATAAAACGAATAATTAAAATTATTTGCTAAAGAAATTTTTTTTTTAAAAAAGC